TATATATATAAACGATCATATAATTATGTTTATTTATATAACAAACAATAAATTTATCAATGTGTTACAAAATAATAGAAAATGTCTCTTTGTGCGATAGTTTAATAACCACCTAATATAAACAACGCTGAGAAATATTATTTTTCTTCGTCTAATCTTTCTTTTTTTTTCTCTCTCTCTCTCTCTTTCCTTATTAAATCGAAAACAACCGTAGGAGAGACAAGGTAAAGCATAAATCTTCATTACGTAATGAAATATGAAAGAAACTGGGGAGTGAGTGGGTTTATTTTCTTTAAAACGAACTGAACTGCTGCAACTACTCCTCCTATCCTTCCCCTCTATCCCCTCCCCCACTGTTTCACCCCCTTATTCCCTTTCCACTGTTGATGCACATTTCGTTAAGACGATTTTAGAAGCGTCTTCGAAGGAAGACACGTCGATCAAGATAGAACGAAAGAAAGAAAGAAAGAAAGAGAAATCAAGATAGATTGATAGATAAAAGGAAAAAGATAGAATGAGAGAGTAAGAGAGAGAGAGAGAGAGAGAGAGAGAGTAAGAGAGTATGCACTCTTTTCTCGTACGAAGAACGTTGCGATGCGTTGTGTCGTGTACGATGAAAAGAAAGACAGACAGACAGACAGACAGACACGAGGTCGAAGAGAGAGCTAAAGCTTTATTTATACCCGTGACATTCTGTTTATTTTGGCTGACGAAGCCAACTCACGCTTTATCACTAACTTGACTACTCTTTTAACCAATGAACGTGTCCCTCCTTTTGAGCTTTCTTTTATTCCCACCCTCACTTTCTTTCTTTCTTTTTTTTTTTCTCTAATGTTGTTTCCTGTTTAGGATATAAAACAATCTTGTTCTCTGATGAACTTTTTACAATGTATATTATTCACCTGAAAAATTTGTTTATTTATTATGGGTAAATGTTCATCGAATAACAAATTTATTTTTTATTAATTCAAATATTTTCTTTTTGATTTAATATATAATAATAATACAAGTGTATAATATTATATTTTTAATATAATTTGATTTATATGTATAATAATTTTTAATTATTAATCGTGCACCAGGGACGGGGTGATATTAAGTTCAATGAAAATTACGAGTATATGCGAAATATAACGATTGTTATTTTGAAAGGAAATTAAAAAAAAAACAAATTGTATTTTTAAATAGAATTAAATATGATCCGATACGAATTACAGTAATCAATATTTCTTTAGACTTAATATAATGGTAATTTTTAAATAACAAAAAATTCGTTGGAATAATCAATTATTTGACTTATTTGTATTAAAACACAATCACATTTTATCTATGATAATTCTTTAAACGATAGAAAAGATAGAATAAACACTTCTTACGAATAAATAAATCCAACAGTTAACTAGCTTGTATTGTAAAGTCTGAATAATGATGTACACGTGTGTGTATGTGTATATATGTCTTCGTAAGTATTGGTAGGATCAGCCTCTTCTGTTATCGATCAACACCTCTCGAATTAGCTGCCAAGACGCGTCATTAATATTTCATAGTGTTTATTTTGTTTATTCGATACGCGATCTTACACAAGCCAACGATAATCTCCCTCTCTCTCTCTCTCTCTCTCACTCACTCACTTCATGTTTCTTAGTTCGAGTTTCGATTATATCGATTTATACAATTTTCAAACAAATACTTTCGATTAATCACTTACTTTCCTTACTTTCCTTACTTTAGTTACTTACTTATTTAACTTTAGTTATTTACCAACTTACTTCAGTTATTCTCTAGTATAACGGTAGACAATGAATGCAGTTCTACAAATTGTTCTGCAACTCGTGATTCCCAGTTGGTGAAGTAATCGACCGTGTTACATCATTCTCTATCGTTCCTACAACGAAATTGTTGACAACTATCATAACTCGCGCCAACTAATCGAGATCTTTTACAATCGAATTGTTGTTTTTATTTTTTTCTCGTTTCACTCGCTTCGAATCATTTCTATTTCCCCCTCCCCTCCCCCTATCCTCCCGCTCCGTCGTTTTACTTATTTACTTACTTACTTACTTCTTCCTTTTATTTGTAAGAAATAATTGCAGGTCTCTTATCTCTCGCGCAGC